CCCCTCACTTTTGTCTTTTCTCACAGTCATTGGGTTGTAGTTTATTTTATAGATGTAAGTATAGCTACTTATGCTCTTTTTAGTTTCTACTTGCATGAAATATTTTTTTCTATTCCTTAACTTTCACTCTATGTGTATCTTTATAGGTAAAGTGGGTTTCCTGTAGGCAACATATAGTTGGATCTTGTTTCTTTACTCCATGTCCTTTAATTGGAGAATCGAATCAGTGCTATTATTAATTAGTAAGGATTTACTACCGCCATTTTGGTGCTTGTTTTCTGGTTTTTTTGAACTCCTTTCTTCCTTTCTTGCCATCTTCCTTTATGGTTAAGTGATTTTCTCTGGTAGTATGTTTTAATTTGTTGCCTTTTATTGTTAGTGCATTTGTTTAAAGTTTTTCCATTGTGGCTATTGTGGCACTTACAAAAAAAAAAGTCTTATAGCCACAACAAGTTATTTTAAAGAGATTACAACTTAGATCACACAAAAAATAGGAACAAAGAAAAAACTAAAAAAATATTTTTATACTTTTAACTCCATCCCCTCATCTCCTGACTTTTTGTGTCCCAGTCTACATATTTCTGTATTGTCTATATCTTAACAGATTATTATAAGCCTTATTGGTTTTGATGAATTGGTCTTTTGGGCTTTATACTAGAGTTAGGATAGGATTGCTCACCACTATTACAGTGTTAGAGACTCTGCGTTTTGTCTGTATAGGTAATTTTACTACTTTTATACCTTCAGATGTTTTCTTTTTGAAGGTTAGGAGTGTTTTTTTAGGTTGAAAAACTTCCTTCAGCATTTCTTGCAAGATGAGTCAGGTGGTGGTGGTGAATTATCTCAGCTTTCGTTTGTCTGGGAAATATATTTGAAGAATAGGTTTGCTGGATACAGTATTCTTGAATGGGAATTTTTTTTTCTTTCATCATTTTGAAAAATGTTTTCCACTCCTACCTTGCCTGTATGGTTTCTGTTGAGAATTCTGTTGCTAGACAAATTGAAGATCCTTTGCCTGTTTTTTTGTTTGTTTGTTTGTTTTTGTTTTTTAAGACAGAGCCTCAAGCTCTTGCCCTGGGTAGAGTGCTGGCATCACAGCTCACAGCAACCTCCAACTCCTGGGCTCAAGCAAGTCTCCTCCCTCCACCTCCCAAGTAGCTGGGACTACAGGCGCCCACCACAACACCCGGCTATTTTTTTTTTTCTTTTTTGGTTGCAGCCGTCATTATTGTTTTTGGCAGGCCCGAGCTGGACTCGAACCTGCCAACTTAGGTGTATGTGACTGGCGCCTTAGCCACTTGAGCCACAGGTGCCAAGCCAGGTCCTTTGCCTGCTGTTTGCTTTTCTTCCCTGGTTGCTTTTAGGATCATCTCTTTGTCCTTGACCTTTAAGAGTTTGATTATTTATGCCTTGTCTTATTTGAGCAAAATCTGGTGTTCTCTGACTTTCCTGTAAATGAATATTTATATCTTTCTCAAGTGTTGGGAAGCTTTCTGTTTTTATTTCTTTTAAGAAAATTATTATTATTATTTCTTTGAATAAAGTTTCTTCTTTCTCTTGCTGAACTCCTTCTTAAATACCAATAATTCTTAAATTTGGTCTTTTGAGGTAATTTTCTATGTCTTATAGATAATCTTCAGTGCTTTTCATTCTTCTTTCCACTCTGGCTATGTATTTTCAAATACCTGTCTTTATTGATTGTTTTCTTCTGCTTAATCCGTTCTGCTGTTGAGAACCTCTAATGAATTTTTCAATTCAGTAAATGTTTTTCTTAGTTCTAAGATTTGTTTGATTTTAATAATTATTTTAATCTCTTTGTTAAATTTCTTGGATGAGGGCACCTGTGGCTCAAAGGAATAGGTTGCCAGCCCCATATGTAGGAGGTGGCGGGTTCAAACCCAGCCCCAGCCAAAAACTGCAAAAATAAATAAATAAATAAATTTCTTGGATGAATTTTTGAATCAGTTTTCTGTGTTATCTTGGAAATCACTGGGTTTCTTTAAAACTGCAGTGTTTAGTTTGTGATAAGAAAGCTTACACATTACCATCTCATCAGAGTCAGTCACTGGTTTCTTGCTTTTTTTGTTCAAGGAAGTCACAGTTCCCTCTTTGCTATTGCTTCTTGTGGGTATACTCCTACATGTTTGCATTGAAGAATTAGTTGTTTATTAAAGTCTTCTCTCTTTTGTTTGTTTTGCTTTTTATTGGATATGTTTGCTTGGAAATTCTTTGTAATCCTTCCATTTAGTTTCTGCTTTTTTCTGGGAGGTTCCTGTTTTCTTTTTATCACTAGGTGGCACATTAAGCCCAGGTTTGCTTCAGCTCTAATGCAGGATTGCCATCTTGTCCATCTCAAATCAGGGAGGTGCCACTGGGAATATCCTAGCAGTGTAGGAAAGCTGGCCAGGGGTTCCTGCCTAGGGAGAATGCACCCCCTATATAGTACTGCTGAATAGCCACTCTGATTTGGCAGTTCCTTTGGCCAAGTTATGGAGCAGAGTTTCCAGAGCTGGGGATGGGAGCTTACCTCCCCTCCCTGTCTCTGGCTGTCCTCAGGGATATTTCTCCCTCTATTTGCTCCTGAGATTACCTGTAGATGAAGGCGATGTCAGATCTCCAGGCAGGGAACCCAGGATAGTGGGGAAGCTGGTTGTCTACCGTGATCTCACTTTTCCCAGTTTAGAAATTGTGAGTTGGAGGAATTTTTCACATGCTTGGTGCCAGGTAGAGTGGCAGGGATATGGAAATCTGATTTCCTCACTATCTACTTGGAAGTTTTTCACTTCTCTGATGCCTTGGGAATATTCTCATTCTCATATTTGAATTCTAGGATATTGCTAGTGATAATCTCAGTGCTGCGTATTTGTCTTTGGTTTTCTGTTGGGGGAATGAAGCCAGCTTGCCTCCTCATTGCCATTTTAGAACTGGAAACCCCATCCTGTTACATCTTAGAGTATTCTGCTGGATTGAATTTAAATAGGAGATTTGAACAATTTTATCACCTCAGCAACTATTCTAAACCATTGCTATTTGAAGCGTGGTCATTGGACAAGCAGTATTGTCTTTACCTGGAGCAGGTACCTAGAGATGCAGACTCCCAGTATTGTTCCAGAACTGCTGAATTGGAATCAATCTACATTTTAACAAGCTCCTTAGGAGTTTGGAAAGCACTGCTCTACACTATGCCAGCGTTTTTTTTTTAGCTTTTTGTAGTTTGACATCTTTAATTTTATAACAGGATAGATAAAGGTTGTATATTTTGGTAATTAATTAATGCCACACAGTAACCTTTTCTTGGCTGAATGTCAGTTTCTCTGAATTATTGATCATGCCAGCTCTAGCTCAGGGTGAAACCATTTGAGCTCTAGTTTTAGTAGAGTACAAGTTAGCATGCATTTCTCCACCCCCTTCTAACTGCTTATCTTTGGTTTCCTGGGTAAGCAGGATCCTCTTCCTCTTCCTCTCTACCTTCCTGGTGCTCAGTGATGTGTGGATCGCTAAGCACAGTCAGCATTTTGGTCAAGTGGGAAATGCTCACACATAGATGGGACTATGTGCCAACTGTGTAGGTGTGTGTCTTACACGGATAAAATCTTAGCTTCAGTTGTTGTGGTCACGCTCTCTTGCAAGATTGTTCCTATAGCCTCAGAGTGTGTGAGCCTTTGCTTCTTTTACTGATAAATGTCAGTGGCATTATTTCAGTGATCAGGTTGCCATCAAGGAATGCATGATGTTCTATTTGACTTTGTTCTTGAAACTATGGTTAAGAAAACTTTGTACCAAAAGCTACCATGTATACAAGCATGATAGTTTCCTCCACTATTTACTGAGCTTGATATCAGCCAGTTTATTCTGTCTGGCTGCCTTTAACAGTGACATACTTTTACCTCATTGGGTGACAAACAAGGAGGATCCCCATGTGAGCAAATTTTGTAATGTCTAACTCAGGGATATTCCTTCAATTGTGATACACTTTAAATTTGAACTGTTTTAAAAGTGGTTTTTATATAATTTATTATAGAACTCTTTAGCACCTCAAGCAGAGGAAGGCTGAAAATGATTTTGTGGTTAAGGACAACTCTGATTACTGTGTATTGTGAAGGAAGTGGCAGCAAATGGGACATGGGGACTATTCCTCTTTCCATCCCATGACCTCAGGTGGCTTTATTTTTTGAGTAGTCAGCATTGGTTCTATTTTGTCATTCCAGGCTTGGTCACTGTCAGGGTTTCTATTAGTGTACCTGCCTTTGCTGTATTCTGTCTCCTCAGCCTTTGGCCCTCTTCCCCCAGTTTGGTGCTTCTGTATTCTGTATTCAAAACCTGCTAGATAATCTTACAAGAATATATTTCAATTAAAAATAGGCTCTGAGTGATGCCTCCAGAGGGTAAGCCAGGAATAATGTAGGTGCTGTGATGGCATAAACTTGTATAAACCTGTGAGCTGGTATATGGTGTGGTTCACACTGCCTTAGGGTTATTTAATTGTTCATGGATTATCTGCAATATGCTATGTGCTGGGAACATAATGGAGTTGAAATAAATATCCTTGCCATTCTCATCATCTGTTCTGGAAGTACAGAAAGATATATAATATGAAGCAAAGCAGATACTATATAATATAGATGTGGACACCATACTGTGGGCCTGGATAAAGAGGAGTCATTATGAATATGACCACACTTAATGGAAGAGAGAAGATAAGATGCTACAGTGTAGTCATGGAGAGACAGGGTAGGCTGGAAGGGAGGGAATGTCCCCAGGGGAAGCAAAAGTGTGAGCAAAGGTGGCCAAATAAAGGGCGTGTGGATGGGACGGAACTTCCCTGGGTGCGGCTGAAGCATGAGACAGCCGTGGTGGGGGAAACAGCGCTGCCATTTCCCCGTCCTGGGGTTTGAATCGTTTTTAAAACTATCTGTCAAGCTTCTGAGACTTTTGTCTTGTTCTTGTGTTTTAGTGATTACAACTATAACTGATGGTAGTGTTTTTCTTTGTACTCACAGTACGGCCAAGTACAGCGTATTGACATTTCTACCTCGATTCTTGTATGAGCAGATTAGAAGAGCTGCTAATGCCTTCTTCCTCTTCATTGCCTTATTACAGGTAATGGTCGTTCTTTTTAAAGTTACTTAAAATTTGCAACCTTAATTCCATGCAAAATGAGAATTCTGTGAAAAGATTCTTTAACAAAAGAAACAGAAGTGTTATAGACCTGAATGGAGTTTGTTTTCCTCATCCAGCCATCGTGTGATGGAGTGTGCATACGGGCCTCATGTTCAGGGATGCTTCCTTTGGTACAGCCTTAAAGATAATAGCAGTGACTGGAAGAGGCATTGAAAAACGGCCTTAGGGGTTGTACTTTTAAGTCCTTTTCTCTTTTATAGACAGTGTTGGACAAAAATTTTAAAAATATATGAAAGTCATAGCTAGTTTTGAAAATAAGTAATTATTTTTGAAACAGAGATGCATAAGAGAGAGCAGTGAACACTTCTACACTGCTGGTGGGAATGCAAGCTAATATGTTCCTTTTGGAAAGATTTTTGGAGAACACTTAGGGATCTAAAAATAGACCCTCCATTCGATCCTACAATTCCTCTACTAGGTATATATCCAGAAGACCAAAAATCACATTATAACAAAGATATTTGTACCAGAATGTTTATTGCACCCAATTCATAATTACTAAGTCATGGGAGAAGCCCAAGTGCCCATAAACCCATGAATGGATTAATAAATTGTGGTATATGTACACCATGGAATATTATGCAACTTTAAAGAAAGATGGAGACTTTACCTCTTTCATATTTATATGGATGGAGCTGGAACATATTCTTCTTAGCAAAGTATCTCAAGAAGGGAAGAAAAAGTATCCAATGCACTCAGGCTTAGTATGAAACCAGTTATAGCCCAAGAAGAAGGGGAAAGGACAGAGAGACGGGAGGGGGTGGATGGGTGGAGGGAGGGTAATTGGTGGGACCACACCTGCCAGCGCATCTTACAAGGGTACATGTGAAATTTACTAAGTGTAGAGTATAAATGTCTTAACACAATAACTAAGAAAATGCGGTGAAGGCTGTTATGTTACTTTGATGAAAATATTTCAAATTATATATAAAACCAGCACATTGTACCCCATGATTGCATTAATGTACACAGCTATGATTTAATAAAAAAAAATTAAAAAAAAAAAGAACAGTGAGTGCCACAATTTTTATTTTCATGGAGTGGATTTTAACACACCAATGTCCTTTTTATGGTTTCTTATCTTACAGCAAATCCCAGACGTATCTCCAACAGGAAGGTACACCACACTGGTGCCATTGATCATTATTTTAACAATCGCAGGCATCAAAGAGATCATAGAAGATTTTGTAAGTTTTTGCTTTTGAATAATAGAAACATTTATGGAAAATAACTTAAAACTTACATTTTGCCTTTGATGACATGCTTACGGAAGGAAATTGAGCTGTCGTTTAATAAGCCCTTCTAGATCCATGATGATGTTTTTTGGGAGGGAATGTGTACTCAAAGTGTCCTAAATACCTATACGGTGACACCAGAACAGTTCATACTATGTTTTTGAATGTTTGGTTTCTTGATACCTTTAAATTTTATCACTGGTGTACCTTATATTCTACTGTATAGCTTGCTAATGTGGGTAGTAAATGAAGTATTACAGTGCTGCCTAGGACGGTCGCATTGAGTTTCCTTTGCCTCAGATAGTTCTATAAGAATCTTTTCCTTCTCACACTCATCCCAGCATATCTCCGAATTTATTGGCTACAACTATATTCTTATTCTTTCTCCCTCTCCTTGCACTCTATCTTCTTCTCCCACTCTCTTTTTCTCTTTCTCTCTTGCCCCTTCCCACACATGCTCACCCTCACACACATATGAGGTCTGACAATTAAATTCTCAAACTCATCCCAGGAAAAGTTCTACATACCTCATTGTTGAGTATCATTTTCAAAGTACTCCTTTTGGGAAGCTGTGCACCCATGCCAGTGCCTAGTCTGTCCTTCAAAGCACTTCTGGGACTCTTGTTCTGGAATGGCCATCAGCAGTGTCATTATATTACCCTGATGTCTTGAATATTATCAAAATGTCTTCCTTTCAATATTTCCTTTATCTTTTGGTAAAGAAAAAAGTCACTGGGTATCAGATCAGGTGAGCAGGCAGGGTGTTCCAATACAGTTATTTGTTTACTGACTAAAACTCCCTCATAGATAGTGCTGTCGGAGCTGGTGCATTGTTATGATGTAAGAGCCATGAGTTGTTGGCCAAGATTTCCAGTTAAGATTTTCCTGTTTCTCTGTGGAAGTTTACTTGGTCTGCTATGCTTCTCGCAGTCAGCCAATGTTTTTGACTCACAATTCAACAAATTTTTGCAATGTTTTCGTCAGTTCTGTTTGTTATTTTCCACCCTGGCCTCTCTTCATCAGCAACACTCTTTCCTCCCTTAGAAAAACATTTAACATTTAATACATTTTTTCCAGTGCTGTTTTCTTCATGGCATTATCCCCATAAACTTGGACTGACATTTCCCTGAATTCACTGCTACCCTTGCCAAGTTTAATAAGAAATTTTGTGTTTGTTGCTTTAATTCAACCTCCAACATTCTCATGACAACACACAAAAATATGCAACAGCAACAATGAACACCACTCAGCAAGACACCACCACACATCAGCATGAACACAGCTGTGAGACACTGATATACCAAAGTTATGAAACCTTACTGAATTGTTTGTATAGTGCTGCCAATGTAAGCACATAGTGGTAAGCTCACAAACTTAATTGTCAGACCAAATATACTTATTCTAGGAATAGGTAAATAAACAAATGTAATGCATGTTGAATGTTGTCATCCAAAGATCTGCAATCCAAAATACTTCAAAATCCAAAACTTTTTGAGTGCTGACATGACACAAAAGGTGGAAAATTCCTGACCTCATGTGACAGGTACACATAATTATTATAAATACTGTCTAAAATTACCTTCAGGCTCCATGTATGTGGTGTATATGAAACATAAATGAATACATTTTTAGTTTAGACTCGGGTCCTATCCCCTAGATGCCTCATTAGGTATATTCAAATTTTCCCAAATCTGAAACAGTCTGAAATTTGAAATACTTCCGGTCCCAAGCATTTAGAATAAGGAGCATGAAGCCTGTCTGTGCACATGAAAGCAAAGGTACTTCATCTGTAAAATGAAACCAGCTGTTTGTCATTGGGTTGAGTATACTGAATAATCATTTTAGTCTACTCTGAAATAAGGAGTGATAAGTTTCATGCTTCAAAGTGCTTCTAATGCATTTAGTGGTTAGAACTGAAATGTAATAATTGAAATCAGAGTAGACAACATCTAAATTTAGTGAGTAATGATAGGTCACAAAACTCTGGGACTGAATTTTATACCATTCGTGTTGTTGGCAGTTAGTTTCCTTGTCCCTTTTTGTTCCTGATCTCATTGTTTGCCATTTTAATAATGTATTGGAAACTTCTGAATGTAAGAACTTTTTCTTTCTTTCTGTAACAGAAGCGGCATAAGGCAGATAATGCGGTTAACAGGAAGAAAACAATAGGTGAGATACTAGACTGAATCTCGCTTTTTCCATGGTAAAACTGAATCACCATTTCCATGGCAAATAAGATCAATATTTAAGGCATTGAAATAAATAGTTAATGAATATCATTTTCATTGAGCAAATGATCTATAGAACACTTTAACGGAATAGTAAAATAACACAGAAACAAAATTGTCATGCTGATGCTTAAGGTTTGAACAGGATTTGTGTATTTTAGAATTTTAGAAAATGTTGTAATTTTTGATGTTCATAAAAAGAAGCCCAAGTATTCTTTATACTCTCAGTTTATCATTTCTCTCCACTTTTCCTGTTTCTTCTTTTTAGTGTTTCGACTAAAACAAACTCTGCTTTTTAAAAAATTGTTTAATGACAGGCTTTTTCTTCTGGGCTGAATAGTAACAGATTTAACTTATATACATACAGAAATATCTGTGTGTATACATTAATGAATATACGTTGAATATATGTTACAGAGGTACATAGATTGGGGTTCCATTTGGGGGAGTGGTGGTATTATACCTTTACCTTCTAATATGGTATATTAGAATATATTATGGTATTACCTTCTAATATGGTATATTAGAATCAAAAAATGGGATTTTAAAAGGAGACTTTTAGATGGTAGGAAACTGATTCTAATTTATCACCAGTTTTAACCAATATGTTATTTTTTCTCTTCCAGTGTTAAGAAATGGTATGTGGCATACCATCATGTGGAAAGAGGTAAAAACTAATTTTAAAGATATACCACAAAGTAATGATTTGAACACTTGTAATGAGTTGCAGGTACTGATTGCAATATAACATTTGTGCTAAGGCATGGGTCACCTCCATTTCATGTAAGTCTTACAATGTGGGGTTTTCCCATGAGGTCTGCTTAGAACTGATACATATTTACTCTGTCCCATCTCTTCTAGAATGTGCCCAATGTGTCCAGTTCCAGCTCTGACTGCTGTTGCTTTTAATTGATACTTCTGAAATCTCAAGTTCTGGTTTCTAAATCTAATTCAAGAAACATTTTCCCTGGTCTTGTCTTGTTCTCTTAACCTATGTTAGTTTTTCTTTTTCACTTTTGAGATTCTCACCTCTAATATTTTTGGTACAAGGATCATTAAATATAGAGTGGTGGTGTAGGGGCTGCTAGAACATGACCTGTATGGTCTTTTGCTCTTAACCACAGTAAGGAAGGCTTTGCCTCCACAGCCTGTAAGTATGCGGTGTGGAGAGCCTAGGAATGGTGTGGTTTTTTTAGTTGTTTATAGTGATGAACAGAAAATTTAGAAGCAATCTGCCGTGCCATCTGGGTATTTTGTATCTGATAAAATTAGGCTTTTTAAGTGAGTCTGTTTTAGGTGGACCTTCCTAACGGATCCAAGATGTTTTGGGGGGATGACTCTCAGTCCACCATTAAAGCTGATTAATATAATTTTAGAAGAAAACGATTTTTCAGAGGGATAACTTAAAAATAGTTTTTCGTGCTAAACATTGAGTAAACAATGCTTTAAAATGCCTCTATGGCCTTTAATGTCTACAAATTGCCTGTGATATGGTGACTGCAGCATTTATTTTTGATTTTTGTTTTATTTTGCTTTCCTTTAGGGGAACCACTGTCCATTAAAATGGTGTTTTACAATAGCGCTTTAACCTTCGTACCCACTTAGAAGTCCTGTATCGCAGCCTTTCATGAACTTCACCCTCATTTAGACGAGTGGTTGTTGGTCAAGAGGTTGGCAGTTCTTGACATTACAGGGGGAGAAACTGCTCCCAGTACTAAAGAGATTCAAGGGTTCCCATAGCACTGGGGATTTACCCCTCTAATTCTCTAGGACTTCTCTTAGGTTTCTTTAGGGTACCCCCCGATCCTTCACTGGCCAGAGTGAAGGACAATTTGGATTGGGTTGCCTGCCCCTATTTGAAACAGCAGAAGGTGGAGCGATAGGCTCTGATTTCTGGCTCTGGGAGCTGCTGGCTTTGCTGACTCCAAGAGCTCATGCCAGTATCCTACACACATTTGTGAGAAAAGCAACAATGAAAAACCTGTAATAGACAGTATTTTTCCATTTGCCTTTTTATTTCAATGTAAACTATGTTTTGTTTATGTACTTAAATGGATCTCTTCACATACTGGAGTCTGGGCTAGGCATGGGAAGGATGGGGTTTGGCCCCTGCCCTTAAGGGGTCTTGTGCAGTGGGTCTCACTCTTTACCACTGGAGTGCTGGTAAAACCCTGGTGCCTGGGCCCCACTGCTGGACTCTTTGCTTCTCTGCATCTGGAATGGGCCCCTAGAATCTGCATTTTTAGGAACTTCTCTGGCAAGGTTGATGTCCTTGCTCTTTAGGCAGCTACCTAGTGTAGCTGCCGAGCCCCCTGAAGGGGCTTCTGTGTGTTGGGCCACCTTACTAGGTCCACTGCCTCAGGTCAGGGAAGGCTTCCCTCCAGAGATGCTGCAGGGTTGACTGGGAGGTAACCTGTTCAGAACTCCAGAACTGTGAGTAGTTCAGAGTGAGGATGGGAACAGAGGAGAGGACAGGTGCCAGCCATGTCAGGCAAGGGGAGCTGCTTGTCACCAAGGTCTCCAAAGCAATAACCATCTACTCCCAGATGCTAAGGCTCAAACCAGGCATCCCCTGGGTTGTAGGTGAATGTGGAGGTCCAGCTCTTGAGCAGACCTCAGCAGCTGTGATTGACTGTAAGAGAATCTTTTTGCTGCCTTTTCAAAATTAAGAGACCCGAGGAACCTTCTGAGGCCAGAGTGGGTTCTGGGATCTGGCGTGGCTGCTTTCCCACTGTCTAATTCTTTTAGACAGTATCACACATGCAAGGGACAGTCACGCATAAGAACATCAAATAGGAAACCATTTCACACTAAATCCTAAGAGGGTTCTCATGCACAAGAAATTTCTTAGTACTTGGTAATTGAGATATGTTTTTTTATTTAGAAAGGAAAGATGGGAGAAGGCCATAATTTCCTTTGTCCTCCCACCTTGAATTAAAAAAATAAACACTGCTTTTTTTCATTTGAAAACATGAATAATTTTCATTTCTAATGGGTTTTCCCCCTAGTTGCTTCTGATTTTTTTCCTATGTAGCTAAACTATTTCCATAAAATATTTTTACTTTTAAAAATGCTTTCCGGCTTGGCGCCTGTGGCTCAAGTGGCTAAGGTGCCAGCCACATACACCTGAGCTGGTGGGTTCGAATCCAGCCCGGGCCTGCCAAACAACAATGACGGCTGCAACCAAAAAATAGCTGGGTGTTGTGGTGGATGCCTATGGTCCCAGCTGCTTGAGAAGCTGAGGCAGGAGACTCGCTTGAGCCCAGGAGTTGGAGGTTGCTGTGAGCTGTGATGCCAGAGTACTCTACCCAGCAGCTTGAGGTCTGTCTCAAAAAAAAAAAAGAAATGCTTTCCATTTCCATAAGCCCTCCCTGAGCTTGTGCTGCGAGTGTCGTCCCCATTCACTTGGATAAGCCGTTTGGAGCACTAGATGCTTTGCAGGAAACCCTCCTGTTTCCCAACAGAAAGTCAAACATGGGTGCCTGGTAGCTTAGAGGATCCAGCAGTTTGTCACAAGTATTATATTGTTTAAATGTCTTGATTTCTAAGCGGATAGAAAAGTGTTCAATAGGAAACAGAAAGCAGAAGTGCCCATTTTGAGTTTTGTAATTAGTACCACACTAGGAATGATCTGTCTTCATCAGGGAATTCCAATGTCCTTGAATTTCACACTTGCAGTGTCCATTCAGCTACTCTTATGCTAATAGGGACTGACACACACACCGTTTCATGCCAAGTGTTGCATACATAGGTCTGACAGTTAAGTTCATGAACTCATCCTGGAAAAGTGCTACACACCTCATGGCTGAGTGTCCTACTGTCACCTTCCAAGGGCTCCCCGGGGGAAGCTATGCGCTGATCCAGCCCTTAGTCCACCCTTCAGAGCAATTTTGTTACTCTTTTTCTGGAATGGGCCTCAGCATTGTCATCATATTACTCTTGATGTCCTGAATGTCATCAAAATGTCTTCCCTACAATATTTCTTTTATCTTTGGGTAAAGAAAAAAGTTATTGGGGGCCAGATCAGGTGAGGAGGGAGGGTATTCTAATACAGTTACCTGTTTACTGGCTAAAAACTCCCTCACAGACAGTGTAGTGGGAGTTGGTATATTGTCATGGTACAAGAGCCATGAGTTATTGGCCAAGATTTTCCTAACTGTTTCTCTACTGATGTTTATTCGGTATGCTGTGCTTCTCACAGTTAGCTGATGCTTTTGACCCCCAATTCGATGAAGTTTATGCAGCATCTTCATCAGCTTTGCTCGTTACACACTAAGATAGCACACATCAATGATGAAGGTAGGTCACTACCCTGACCTACCTTCATCAGTGGCACTTTCTCTCCCCTCAGAAAAATGTTTAAGCCATTTGTCCACTGCTGTTTTCTTCATGGCATTATCCCTATAAACTTGGGCTAACATGTCCCTGATTTTACTTCCGCTCTGCCAAGTTTAACAAATTTATGGATGTTTGTTCATTGCTGTGATTCAAGCTCTGACATTCTCGTGACAGCACACAAAGACATGCAGTGACAATAATGAACCCCACTCAGCAAGACACCACTACAGGTCAGCATGGACACAGCTGGGAGATGCTCACACTCCAAGGCCAGGAAACATTACCAAATCGTTTGCACGGGTCTGCCAACGTCAGCGCACAGTGGCGACTTTGTGAACTTAATTGTCAGACCGTATAAACTTCCTTAGTCACTGCATCAGCTTTAGAAAGCTGGTGGGATTATTTTCTCCTTTTAGAAGTGAGGACACCAGGGCTCTGAGAGATGAGGCAGCTTGCCAAGATCACAGAGCCAGCACGTGGCCGTGAAACTAGGATTTGAGCCTTGGCATGCCTGATTCGAAAGCCCACATTCTTTCCAACTTGGTGTGATCTCATTTAAAGGATTTATAGACACTTGGCCATGGTGCTGTTTTGGAAACGATAGCCTATTTCCTTGGCTGAGGTTCTTCTGTGCATTTGAGTCTGTTTCCCAAGGTAGTCTCTGACTTTGGCCCTAACTCTTGTCCTAGAAATTTCTTGAGGCTGTACAAATCTGTTATGTAGCATGTTTCCAGGGGACCCTTAGGTGCACTGTTTATCAGTACATTAGGTATTACCTTTTAATCAGAGCGCCAACCTCACGGTCAGAGTACCCGGTTTTTAATCCTGGTTCTAACACTCACTGACTGGATGACCTCCATCAGGTTTTTTTGTTTGTTTGTTTTGAGCCTCAGTTTCCTCACTTGTAAAACAGAAAAATTGATGTGTGCTAACTTAGTTGATCCCACAGTAACCTCGTGAAATGTGTGATGTTATCCTCATTTTAACAGATGAGGAAACTGAGGCCCACAGAGGTTCCATAACTTTGCATGATAGGGCAGCTAGTTCAGGTGCAGCAGGGGTTTGGAACCCAGATGTTCAGGGGGCCCTGGAGGTGCCGAGTAACCACTGTGCTTCCTGCATGCAGCGCTGGGAACATCAATCATGATAAAATGGGGTCTTTGTACTTGTTCTCACTCATCCTTTTTCTCCCTCTCCCTTCCTTTTTTTTTTTCTTTTTTCTTAGGCATTGTTACAGAAAGGCAGTATTACCAGTTGCTTGTATGAAAGCATTTTCCTTTTGTTCTTGTCAAGGAGGATAATTTGGGTTTTTTTAATCTTAAAACTCATGGCTTAGTTATAGAGTAATTTTTTTCCAAATATGTAAGCACCTTTTTCTTTTCTTTCCTGCTTCTCTGTCCTTGTCCTGGCCCTCTAGGTGGCAGTGGGAGACATTGTGAAGGTCGTCAATGGGCAGTATCTTCCGGCAGACATGGTCCTGCTCTCCTCCAGGTCAGGTGTGCTAGTGGGCACAATTTTTGCAATCTTATGTTAAGAATAATAAGGCCTTAAGTGGTGCCTGCAGAGTCTCCAGCCACCCCTTCCCTTCCGCCAGCCTTCTCTCTCCATCCTACCATTGACTTGCCATTTGTCTTCTCCTGGCTTGACCTTGGGTTTCTTTCTCCCATTCATTCCTTTGTGCTTTTCCTGAATGCCTTTAGCTGTGTTGCCTCCACAGGATCTCCTGGCTATTCTGGGGGTATTCCTCCTTTATAGGAGCTCTGATTAAAGAGCAGTGGAGTGGTCTGTACCCTCCCGTAAGGGTGGATGTAGCATATCTGAGACTTCAAAACCAGTTTCCTGATGGTCCCAGCTGGCAGCGCACACTGCAGACAGAGCCCAAGGCCAGCCTTTAATAGAAAGAACCATGGGTGTTTCCTCAGCACAGGCATGACCTGCAGACATGTTTGTTCCTCATTCATTTTGCCCCCTTTCTGCCCATACATCCTTGCCATGTGCTATAGGTGGTTTTACTCTAGAAAGATACGTCATCACTCGGTGGGGTGTGGAAGGACAGTCCACCCCCTGACTCTTCCCTTGGCTTGATGCATAAAAGTCTGCAGCAAGGAAAGAAAGCCAAAATGAGGGCAAGGATGAACTTCTGCTGTGGCATTCAAGTTTAAATTATATGACTTGAAGACTAGAACTTCCTAAATTCTATATGCCTCTGGAAATCATGATTCGTGTGCCATTTGCATTTTCTGTGATTGGAGACGGTGTTTCTTGTCACTCTTTCGAAGGTAGGCCTTAGCTTAAAATTGTGTTCCCAACAATAAGACTTAAAACTTGGACCCCAGGCCTCTGGAGGGGAATGAGACAAATTCATGTTTGTCCTTATTGATCAGTAACTAAGAAGCTCTTAGAAATATTAAAAAGATTGATCCTTTGGTAGTTTGAGCTAAAGGAGCCTTGGCTGTGCCCTGCAGGAAACCTGGTTTTGATGTGGAATTGTTTGTCGGAGCTCATGCCATGTCCCTGTGTGCTCCTTCCTGGTGCAGTGGCCTGCTGAGAACGTCACCCCTTTCATCTTCCTGATAACCCTCCATAGCCTTCCTTTACGTGAGAGAACACCAGGACACCAAGAGATTAAACACCCTGCCAAGGCCAGGGAACCCATAACTGTAGCCCGAGGGGATTTTCACTCAGCCAGTGGGTTGCAGAGTCGTTCTCCCAACCACTAATTGTGCTCACTATCCTAAATCCAAAGACCTAAAACAGAAGTAAGGTATTTGCTATGCTTATTTTTACTCTCTGAGTTTTCTGTCCTTACGATTAGGTGTTTTGATTGAAAAGCTGCCTTTTGAGATAGTAAAAAACACAGGGAAGCAAAGGCTAGCCAAGGCCGTGCCTCGCTCCTGCACCTCCTCTGGCTGTAATTTTCTTGAAAAATGTGTATTGGTGCCAGCCATGCTGAGGGTGGCTTTTTGATCAGGAGTTGGTCCCACCCCAGTGGTTGGGTGTTGGCAGGGAGGACATCACGTGTTTCAGGTAACGTGCCCTCCCCAATTCCTCCTCAGTCATTTCTGGTTACGTAAGGCCAGCAGTCATTATGGGGGCCCACAGGCTGGGTCATCTGGGCAGATGCCAATGTGTGTCTTCCTTTCTCATCAATGATTGTTGCTAAAGTGGCTGTTTATATCAATTTATTTTGAAGGGCTCCTCAGCAGATAGAGATTTCATAATAGAGATTTTACGAGCTGTGAGTTTGCGGAGCGGCCCTTACTAAACTTGGCTTTTTTTCCCCTCTCCTTAGTGAACCTCAGGCAATGAGCTACGTTGAAACAGCTAATCTAGATGGAGAGACAAACCTTAAAATACGTCAGGTAAAGTCACCTTTTATGGCCTGTGTTGTAATGGAGGCCGCAATCGCACTTCTGGTCCTAAATGTCTTTTCCTAGAGAAAAAATACTCAGCCTCAAAAGGTCATGCCTTAACCTGGATGGAATCTATAGGAAGAATATGCCTTTTATGATGAGGGGACTCATAAAGAGAGGTAGAAAAATGGGGCTTCGTCATGCTGGAGGGGAGAAAGGTATCCGCCTTCATGTGCATCTTACTGTGCCCTCTGCCTGTGATGCTGAGGGTGGGGACGTCCCAGGAGGCTGAGAAGTCTCCCCAACTACAGCGGAAACACACAGCGCACGGGCTCTGTGTGCCTCACTTTACACTGTGGAGATTCTAATTCTTGAGAGTGGCTTATTAGATGTAAAATTTTCATGTCCTAAATAAAGCTATTTTTACCATATATTTTAATTCTAGATCAACTGAACGGTAGTCTTTACTGTGTAAAAATTATAAGCATTTTGACACTTCAAACATTTTGCTACAGAAAGTTGAATTCAGTAATTCTGTCCACATATCTTTCTTTTCTTTCATGGATATTTGCTTTAGATATTTTCTTTTCTGTTTAAAAAAGAGTTAGCAGAGTGCCAGGTAGTGTTAATCTATTAAAGGGATGCCTCTGGGGGGCGCCTGTGGCTCAAGGAATAGGGCGCTGGCCCTATATGCCACAGGTGGCGGGTTCGCCCCGGCCAAAAAAAAAAAAGGATACCTCACGTTAACAGATGATGCTTCCAGTATGGTGTTTGCACGTCCATTCTCATGTATGTTTCCAGTGCAGTGATAGAATCTTGACTTTCTCCTTCATTCGATTCTTCCACCACTTTTGCATTAGGTTCTTGTGGAAAAAAGCTACTGATAAAGTCTGCCTGGGGGCTGATAGTTTGTTAGCTTCTCAAGATTATTGCATTTTAGATGACTTCTTATTCTCTTTTGGTTATGATGGGAATGCCAGATATTACCCCTAAACACAGAAGATTGTTCTTGATTTCCTCTTTTGGCTTCACATTCTAGGGTTTGAGTCACACAGCGGAAATGCAAACACGAGAAGTATTGATGAAGTTATCTGGAACTATAGAATGTGAAGGGCCCAATCGCCACCTCTATGACTTCACCGGAAACTTGCACTTGGATGGAAAAAGGTATTATTTTCCTTTACTTTTCTCCTCTTTTATAATGTGGCTAAGAACTGTTGGTGCTTTGGAATATATGTTTGTTTTCTAATTTCGTAATATTTTCAAACAGCAAGATTTCACACCATTTCACTCAACTTAAAATTTCCCTTCAATTTAAGGAAAGAACAGATTTTTGACAAAAAAAGAGCCCAATGACCTCGGGTAAAGTTCAGAACGGGTGACTTATTTTTCCTATGCCAGTTCTCTGCCAGGCAGGAGAAATGGTTTTAGCTGCACAAACTATGCAGAAAAGCAGAAAAGGGGTGTCTGAGGTGAAGAAAAGGTAATTTTTGCAGGGTCAAATGGCAGGTCTATTTTTAGTTCTCTAAGTGTTCCCCAGAAGTGCATTAATGTACATAGTTATCATTCAATAAAAAAAAAAAAAAGAAAAGGTAATTTACTTGTTAGAGAACTGTTAGCAATGGCTAAGGCAAATTTGTGTTTAGAAAGTTGAATGAGGCTCGGTGCCTGTGGCTCAAGCGGCTAAGGCACCAGCCACATACACCTAAGGTGGCGGGTTCGAATCCAGCCTGGGCCCTGCCAAACAACAATAATGGCTGCAACCAAAAAATAGCTAGGCGCTGTGGCGGGTGCCTGTGGTCCCAGCTACTTGGGAGGCTGAGGCAGGAGACTCGCTTGAACCCAGGAGTTGGAGGTTGCTGTGAGCAGTGAAGCCATGACACTCTACCCAAGGGGGGACAGCTTAAGGCTCTGTCTCAAAAAAAAAAAAAAAAAAGAAAGTTGAATAAAATGGAAAAATGACTCTTCCTCTGGAATATTCAGGGCCCCGTGTCTGTATCTCGTTGTCTTTGTCCTCTAAGTGTTTGCTGTGTTGTTTGAGTCATCTTTTGTTGTAATATTGGGATGCAGTATCTATCTTCTGGCCATCTTTTGTCTGCATGCCTCTTGCCAATGTCCTCCACAGCCTCCGGGGCTGTCCTTTATATTCTGAATAGACCCAGGGCTTGGAAGGACTTGACCATGGGAATCAACCCAAAATAAATCTGACAACTAAGTGTGACTTCTTAATGGTTTCATCAGCATGAATAGCTATTCTATAGATTCCCCATTTTGAATTTCTAAATTAGCACTTAGGTCCTTATTTAATCATTAAACCATCCTCGAAAAGTTTTATGTCACAGGTCAACTGCTTTTTAAATTTTTCTTATCATCGTCTATAAAATAAACTGAGTTTCCCAAATGAATAAGCTTCTGGTTGTTATTTTAGCAATTTCCTTTCTGGGGGTTGAGTTTCATAACAGGATTATGAGAGACATAATTCCCTCTAACATTTTAGAAGGGGTAAAGGCATTTTTCTGTAGTGATGAATGAATCAAATAAACTGTTTGGGTTGGTCTCTTTTGGTAGATGAAGCCAACGGTAACCTTTGTTGTTCTTGTTTCTCGGTGAAATAGTTCCAATTTGACTAAAGGAAACATTTGATTTATCGTGGGTTTATATTTAAGGGGAATGCTTAGGCTCATTTGTCAGACCATCATTAAATGTAAATGTTGTTTCTTATTTTTAGCTCTGTTTCCCTTGGGCCTGACCAGATCTTACTGAGAGGTACACAGCTTAGAAATACTCAGTGGGTCTTTGGCATAGTTGTTTATACTGGACACGACACCAAACTCATGCAGGTAAAATTTTTCCTATGCTGAAAAACAATGTTGATTTTAGTATTTTTTAAATTCCTTTTTGTTTTTATTGACCAGAGGGTGGAAAATACTGATGTGGCATTTAAGAAACTCCAGTTTGTCCATGAACCTAAATTTGGAAAGGAAGTGCCTTTATTTTAGTTCTGTAGGTAGTTTCTTTGGGATTTCTGTTATCAGATATTTGTTACTTTTTGCCTGAAATATAAATGGTCTTTGTTTTCTAGATTGAAGGGGGAAATTGGTTCTAACTTACTTTGTTGTAAGGTGGGATGAGTTCTGATGTTTTTATTTCTTTACTAATTCTCCTCTTCCCTCCATTAATTAGGACTTTAACTGAATTCTAGACAGTTTAAAATAAGTTACTTTTGTTCTTCAAATAACAAATAAAAAAATTTGAAGTCAAAGTGATGTTGCTCTTTTTCCCTGTCAGTTTTTTAAAATTAGTGTTTGTGAATTTACAGCTCACATTTATATTATGACAGATTTTGCCAGGCAGCTTTTGAAATTCTGCATAAATTGATGTCCCAAAATGTCATGTCTTACATTTTCTTTGGTATCACTCAGCATCTTATTTTGTGAATGGGAGTTTGTTTTTCAGTTGTATGACATTTCATATAACTTTTAAAACACACATTTGGCTGTATTTCTGGATTAAAAAATATTTAGTGATGTACCAAATCTAGGGCTTGGCTGTATGGATACAAAAGTGAACAGCCACGTCTTACTCTCTGGGAGCCAGGCAGGCTAAGAAGTAATACAGAATTCCAAAGTAGAGAGATAATCACTGCAATATGTATAATTTTTGAAGTGTTATGGGTATATACAGAAGGGTCATCCAGCCCTGGTTTGGGGACGTCAGCTGACTGGACACTTAGAATGATTCCCCCAGCAGAGGCATGTTTTAAATACCAAGTTGGAGAGGGGAGACTGTTGTGTTGATTTATTCTTTAAGGTCAAATGATAATAGGAAGAGAGAGTTAAACATTCCATGAGATGATGTAATGGCCACACCGCGTCCTAAATGCTGTGAAGACAGGAAAGGAAGATGGGGCTCCAAGGATTGAGAGGCCCCCTGAAGCTGAGGAGGATGGCAAGGGTGGCTGGGTGACAGGCTGATCTGTGTCAGGGTGCTCGTCTCTCTGTCTCTGGGGTGGTGGGTTTCAGGCATGATTAGGGTGACCAGATTTTAACATTTGTAAAGCAGGACAACATGGCTGGGGGACGGGGCGGGGGACGGGGCAGGGCAGGGCCTGACAACAATGCGAAGTTTGATAAGCCGTTCTCGATAATCACTTCTCAACATTTGTTATTATTACAGTTTAACATTATAAAATTGACAAAAATAATATAAAAGTCATATTCTGGCGAAATAGCCACATGACTGCTGAAAACCGTATATTCCTTACCTGTTCTCCTGCCCGTTCATACATTCTTTCCAAAAATCAGAACTTTTTTAAAACACCGCAGGACGCGGGACAAATTGTTTAAAAGTGGGACTGTCCTGCCAAAAGTGGGACATCTGGTCACCCTAGGCGTGATGAGACCTGTGGGTGAACTGTGGCAGTACGAAGTTAAAGGTTGAACTGCTGAAGGTCATTAGATGTGGAGAAGTGTTACTGTTCTCGGAGCTAACTGGTCAATGACACAGAGACAAGCACTGCAGACGAGATGACTAATCTGAAAAGGGAGGCTGAGGCTCCCTCCGGCCCTCAGCGACCACCTATCTTTAGTGATTCTCTTGTATACTCTAAAACATCCGATTAAAGTTTAAAATATCAAAAAGTTAAGACAGCAAAGTAAGATTGGAAACTACCATAAAGATTCCAATTCAATACAATTACTGTTGAACATGTATACAATTGATACAAATTAAGAACATTTTACTTGGGCCTGAATCACAAGGATGCCAGGTTGCCTGTTCTGTGGGCCCATTTCCTTGAACTAAGACCAGCAATTATTGTGTTAATGAGGAGAAAGGAAAAAAAGTACAACTGCCCAGTGCCTGGACAGGTGTTTAGCCACCAGCTACGACCCGTGTGGTCCTCCAGCAAATTCCTTTCTAAGAACGGTTCTGCTTTTCAGCAGGCCCGGGCAGGTTCTCAGAGTAAGGGAATTCCATCTTAGGGCCATGTTCCGCCCGGAGCACATGAGGCTAGACTGCCATGTCTGAGCAGGGGGGGCTGTGCCCCTTCAGAGAAGTAAGGAACTTGATGCATCGGTGCTGTGATTTTGAAGCTAGGACCTTGGTGAGGCTGGGGCAGAGAGGGATGAGTGCCGTGGGCCAGTTTTCAAGTCTGCAGTGAGGGACCGGTAGCCTTGCCAGGGGATAGGGGCAGGAGGTGGTCTGGCCAAACGGCATGAATTTTATGAGTGAATTTTTTTAACATGGCATTCAAGGAAGGAAGGTTCAGATGTATTTCTAGATCTCGAATACACATGATAGTAACACCTTCAGGTGCTCAGGGGACGCGAGTCTCAGCTGTGTCATCACTCTCTGCTTTATGGGAGGGGGAAGGCATGTCCTTGACTGGGTGAGGCAGGGGCAACAGGAGAGCTGGTGAAGGAGGGAAGAGCAGGGCAGGGCCCTGGGCACAGTGGGAAGGGTGCAGAGTATCTGTGCTGGGGTGAGGGGGCGGGAGCTCTCCACGGCAGTTAGAGAAGTGAAGCGAAGACTTGGTGAAGGCTGAGAGGCAGCTCTTATGGGTGGATCAAGATTATTCAGCATATCGGAGATGAGCTTCATCTACCCCCCCCCCCCCAGCTGGGTTGACATCTGCGTACAGGGGCTGATTAGAATGCTTCCAGTGTGGTTCCTCAGCAGCCTGGCCCACACGCAGAGACTTGATCTTGATAAATGGTTTGGTCCTCTGCCACCCAGTCTGCACCCTCTGGCTTCCTCAGTCCAGTGCCAGTAATCCCCGCTCCGCTAACCAGAGATCACTACCTCTGCTTTTTACAATGAGGGGACACAGACATCATGAGTGGCTCGCTTAGATTTCAGCAGAGCCCAGAGACAGTGCTTATTACAAATTTAAGCACTCTCCAAGATTTCTTATGCACTGGGGTGTCTTCTCTGGATGTATTATAATATTGTTTTCCTGGAGCATACGTTGATAAATACAACTTTGTAGCTAAGCTATCTGAGTTAATTACGTTATATTTTAAAACACTCCCATCGTCTCTTCAGTGAGTGAGGCAGGCACTAAGCTTGCATCCCCTGAGCATGAGAGGCACTTTTCCTTGTCCCGGGATATACTAAACCTCAATGAAAGGCTTATTGCATGTTGACTGCTGAGTACAGAATGATGGACAACCCCAGAGACATCTGTGCTAGCCCAGCTGTGCCTTTAGGGCTGAAACAAGTAAAAATAATGCGCTTTGAAAAGGAATACAACATAGGTCCCATAGCTGGGAGCCACCCTGTTTGTGCAGTCACAGTTTTCGTCTGAGCTAGAGGAAACTCAGTTCCTTTAGGGTTCCTCAGGTTCTTCTTCTACCCTTTCCCCCCGTAACCTCTCACCTTAATGCCTCTACCCTTTAAGGTTCACTAAATTCCTGCTTAGTGTAGCTTACATTGGTCATTACGAAAGTTTTGAGATACATAAAAATCAAGAAATAATAATCCACATGGACGGAAACAGACGAAACTCTTCCAGCAACACTCATAAGCCCAGCAAGTTAAAACTTGTTTGGGTGAATCAGAAAGGATGCTGTCGACTGTTTTTCTTGGAGGCGAAATAATGGGCCATAATATGGTCTGTCTCAAACTTTCGTAGTGACCCATGTATGCAGAAATATTTCAATCTACTATTTTTGTTGATTGATTTAAGGAGAAAGAGAATGATTAGCACATTCATTATAGCAAACATTAATTACAACAAATCATGCATTGTTTTTGATGATTAATAGGTGTTAACTCACTTATTCCTTCTGATGGCTAGGTAGTATTGTTGTCGCTTTATAGATGAAGAAACTGAGTCACAGAGTACCTAAGAAATTCAAGGTTACAAACTGGTAAGAGAGAGGTATTCAAATGCAGGCAGTCAAATTCCACATCCATGTTCTAACTGGTATTCTCATGCCTGCTTCCTTAGGAGCGAATAAAATACATAAGATTTAAGTCTGATTTCAGCTTCTTCTAAAACTGATGTTTTGACCCATTTTTACTTACAATTCCATTCCACCATCGTAGTAGTGTTCTCTGAGAATTTTATAGGAAAACTTACAATGCTAGTAGGAATTTAGCATTAAAAACTCACATTGCAAGTAGAAATATTTAGAGGATGGGTGTGATCAGGCAGATTTTGGGTTTCCACAAAGAGCACATGTTAAAGCCTTAAGTTGGGGGATCATTATTCTTGTGTTGGATGAAAGATATATTTTCTTAATCCTCTTCACTGGCCAGAATTCAACCACTGGGAAAGATCAGAAGTCACTAACTAAAGGGATCACGGAAATGAAGTTTACTATACTTTTTCCCTGCCTGTTCATTCAGTGAATGTTTATTGGAAATGATAAGCTCATCTTTGGTTTTTAGAAGTTAGAATAAACAGCCGTGGAACTGGCCTGCCTGGTTCTTGCTATGAGGCCGGATGTGGCTGTGTTCTCCCATTTGACCTTGAAGTGGTCTTTGGTTGATGATAAATTGGCCTTTACTAATGGATTTACATTTAGAGTCTAGAAAGATTTTTCTTAAAGTCTGTAAAAGACAAATAATTTAAAGGACTACTGTGAAAGGGGGGGTGAAAATAGAAATATAGACAAATGCTGCTATGTTGTTCAGATGTCTAAAGGACTTATTTTTTCAAAATACCAGTATGATGATTCTCCAACTTCCCCATCCCCAAGAAAACCAAGGCCATGATAGTCTTCGGGGTCTGGTGATAGAATTCACATCACAGTATCAGTGACCGCTGTGGTATGAATTTCTTTGTAGAGTTTAGGAACGAATTGCCTCCTGTTTTCATCTCCATTTCATTTTCACCTGTGACTTTATTTGTATTCTTATTTCTGAAGACATTTTCATCTTAGCTGTTGTAACAATCAGATTGATTTCTTAAGGATAGTGAAGGAAAGTGTTGACTTAAGTTTGGGACAAGGCACCACTGTTACGGTCAGTCAGTGCCTCGCAAACTTGCAGATCACCCTAATTTAGCAAATCAACCCTGTTGCTTTTGGAAAGCCAGGGCCTGCGATCCATGGGAGGACTGCAGGCTAGAGCTCCTGTGTCCATCTCTCCCTGAAATAGAAGTTGCTGGCTTCTAATCTAACCCAGGAGTCATTTCGTGTTCAGCGTGGATTATGATTCATTCCCACCCGACTGTCCTCTGCTCCGTGTCTTCTTTGGCCACCTGCTGTGTTACTGTATTTGTTTCCTTTGAGTGCTATAAAAATTTCCAAGTCTTAGAGGCTTCAAGCAGCACAGTTGTTATGTTATGGTTCTGTAGGTTGGAAGTCTGAGCTAAAACTCAAATGTCGTCTGTTGCTTTCTGCATGCTCCACGGGGAATCGGATCCTTGCAGTTTCCAGCCTTCGCTCCTTGTCTTCTGATTCCCCTCCTCCATCTTCACAGCACTGGTTTTACCTCTCTGATCCATTTCCTGTGGTCACCTCTCCCCTGACCATAATCAAGACAAGTCTTCCCTTTTGAGGACCCTTGGGATTAGACTGGGTCCGCTTGGATAATCCAGGATAATCTTTCCTTCCTACAGTCCTTAATTGAATCCCATCTGCAAAGTCCTTTTTACTGTATAAACTAACATATGTACAGGGGTGAGGGATTAGGATGTGGGCCTCAGGGGCCTTTATTTGCTGGCCATGGCTCCCTCCAGAAATTTTTCTTACGAAATGACTTCTGGTGGGTCACTGCCTTATTCAAACAGTCTATTGTTTTTTCCACTGTTGGAAAATCTAGGCCCAAATTTTCCACCTGGAATGCAGTGATTCCTGAATGTGGCTTTACTGAATCTCTGTGAACTTACCTCCTAACACTGGCCTGGGCTCTGGCTGGGCTGGTGTGCCCAGCAGCAGTGAGAAAGCGGATGCTAGGCCTGAGGTGAGGCTGCGTCCTCCTTCTCTCTCCCTTTTCCTGCCCACATTCTGCTCATGATTCAAGACACGGGTCAGGTGTCCCCGTCCAGCAGGCCCTTTCTGAGTGTTCCTGCTCATTTCTTTACAGTTCCCCGAGGGAACGTTTTGTCCATTCATTTATTTCAACACCTATTAGTGTTCTGTTTTGGATTATCAATGTGTATGTGTCGTGTCTTTTTCGCTTAAATTTTGTCCTTTTAAAATATCTCAGTATATTTATTATAGAGCTGTACTGTTGAAGGTTCTCTCTAGATTTTTAGAGTGTAGAGTCTATACATTTCTTGTGAGTTAACAGTGTCCTCATTTGTTTGAAACTGGACTTAGCTTATTTAGAGCTTATTATATTCTAAGATACAGAAAGTCATTAATTTTATGCTAAGTATATAATGAGAAACACAGAATGAATGGGTATGGTGGCTCATGCCTGTAACCCTAGCACTCTGGGAGGCCGAGGTGGGTGGGTTGCTTGAGCTTATGAGTTTGAGACCAGCCTGAGCAAGAGTGAGACCCCTGTCTCTAAAAAAAAAAAAATATACTGTAGTCCCAGCTACTTGGGAGGCTGAGGCAAGAGAATCACTTGAACCCAAGAGTTTGAGGTTGCTGTGAGCTGTGACACCAGGGTATTTTACCGAGGGTGACAAAGTAAGACTCTGTCTCAAAAAATCAAACCAAATAAAACACAGAATGAATCATGTAGCGTTGGAATGTGATCTATAAATGGTAGAACATGTCTTCTTTTTTACTTAAAACTAGCTTTTGGGCCTGGGTGCAGCGGCTCATACCTGTAACCATAGTGCTCTGGGAGGCCAAAGTGGGTGGATTGCCTGAGCTCAGGAGTTCGAGACCAGCCTGAGCAAGAATGAGACACCCTCTACCCCCAGTCTCTACTAGAAGTAGTAGGGAGTTGTGGCAGGCACCTGTGGTCCCAGCTACTCAGGAGGCTGAGGCAAGAGGATCACTTGAACCCAAGAGTTTGAGGTTGCTGTGAGCTCAGATGCCATGGCACTCTACCCAGGGTGACAGACATTCTGTTTCAACAAAACCAAAACAAACAAACAACTAGCTGTTGATTCAGGAGTGTGGCATGTTTTTTAATTAAATTGATTATT